CAGCATTAACCTTCTTATTACACTGTTTACATTCACCAATAATGTTTTTATTTTCTCTGCTGTCCGGATGTTTTTGACAAAACTATTTGCTAAATAAGAAAACATTTTATTTTTCCGCCCTCCTCTGACAATCTTCAAAAAAATATGTTCACGAAACAAAGTAAAAAAAAGTCTCGCCTAATATACAGTATGCAATGCATGCACATGATTTATGTTGTATATAGTCAAACTTACACTCTAGATTCAACATGACACTGAAAGAAGTGCACAAAATGGCGACACTGGGTTAAGTTTGATAGAGCGAAGGGAAAAGCATGTCCCGGGTGGGGATGCACCCCTCCCCCACAGACACACTCCCACTGAAAAGTTGCTGAGCAAAAAGAAAAAAAACCCCAAGTAGTTAATAATTACCAAAATATTAGTCCATTATCTAGGTATACATACATATATTTTTATATACAGTACCCCTCTTTCCCCACGGCCATGACAAAAAATACACGACAATCAGGTTATTTAAATTTTTTTTTCGATGAAATGTAGATTATGAATACCATGATTAATGTATAATGTTTATACAAATTTGTTTACGATACAACAAGTATGTAAATATTGAAATGTCATTGTTAGGGACTATAAATAAAACATAAATATTATATTCACAATATTTTACAAAAGAAAAACCTGTAAATTTAAATAATGCTTGTTGTTTTCTTAAATTCTTCCAGCGTTTATACATTATAGGCCCAATATCAATTCTCATAGAAAACATTCGTAAAAGGCAACTGCAAGATACAGTATATAATTAAAGAACTTTTCATTAAAAAATTAGCTACAAACTATTAAAAAGGCTTTCCATTCAATATATACATGCACAATATAACTAGAGGAATCGCTATAAAATGATTATTACAATATTTAATAAAAAGAATTTAAATGCAAAAAAAAATAATATTAGTAATATTACCATTACAACAATAGCAATAAAAAAATACATTTGTTTAATACTTGGTGGATATACTGAACAAGCACTCATAACAATATCATAAATAAGAATAAGAACGCATTATATTTTCTGCCCTGAGACAATTAAAGACAAAAACTGAAATTAACAACTGTTAATTATTACATAATAAGAAATTTCAATCAAATCTTATGATATAAAATCTATTCTCAATGCGAAGACTTCATTAGATAAAACCAACCATAGAACATTACGTTGCCCAGTATTTCGAAAAGAAGGTACGCATTGGAGTTTGTGATAACACATGACTTGCCAGACAAGCCAGGCTACCAGGCTGTGGTATACATCGGCACTGGCTACTGGCCAAGTCAGGCTACTATCAGTCAGGCCACACTAGAAGTGGTCACGCCAGGCTACTGGTTACATCAGGCTATCAGCTAATTGCTTACAAACTATCATAACAGATAAAGCTTAGAATTATTTTTCATGATTTTTATTCTTGTTAATGTATACTGCTAATTGTACGTTATGGCACAACAATAAATATTACAAAATAACAAACCATGACTCATCTTTCTCACATGATTAAGCCAAACTTCTCACTTCAGTCTATGTAAAATCAACAACACTCTACATTTTATCTACTAAGATTTATTTCTAAAGAGAATATAATCTTGACCAATCTAAACTTTCCATGATAGATCTTTCACAAAACTTATACACTTACAAGACACTTATATAATAGTAGGGATTTTTCCCTAAGTTCTTGGATGAATGTAAATGCGATCTGAGGTCAAATGGGTCACACTGTCAGATTTCCAATTGTGGATGTCTCTTGCTGTGTGTCGACAAGCAGACTTTCAGCCACTACTGGTTCGGGGGCTCTTAGCGACATTGCCGGTGTCGTATCTTCTGAATTATCATCCTGCGTGTCTTGCCGAAACCATGATTCTCGAGGAGTACCACTTGGGGAACATTTTCCTTGTGGTATTGAATTTATATTGCGATCATGAAGCTGTTAAATAAAGTGGCAATATTTGAGAAAAATCTAAAATATAAGATACTGTTAAGAAGGAATCAGTATCTTGCGATGATGCTTGCGATGATGACGATGACAATCTCAAGATGCTAGTACACAGCTGAGGGAGCTGTTTAAAGGCAGAGTTCACACCCACGTGCATAGGCAGATTGAAGGTTTGAGTGGGAAAATGAAGGGAAAAAAATTACATAACAAATTCAAGTCTTAGAGTGCATCTCAGTCTCAACCATGGTTGGGGCTGAGGGGGTCTAGTCCCTCTATCTGTCAAAATACACCCCTCTAGGCCTATATAAAATTCCTGGATCTACCACTGAAATGTGTGAACAATTTAAAGACACAACACTTCCTCATACTCAGATATGGCACTCTCAAACTTGAAAAATGCATTACAAATTGTCGTAATTAACAGTTTGTCATGTATGTGAGGATGGTGCTGTAGACTCATTCCGTGAGTCTCTTGGCCATACAAGGAGGTGATAATGATGATGGTTTTGTACAAAACTACAACTTTTTTATAAATAATAAATGAATAATTGGATAAATAAAGGTGATGTTGCTTTACCTGATGCATGTAAATTGCACTGAAATTTATATCTATTGTATGGAAGTTGCACGAGGCTGTACTTGCCACGGCCATGGGTTGGGAAACCTGTAGACTCGCTCCACCTATACTACTCTGTAGATTTCCTCCACTCTGAATACTGAGGAAAAGGGAGATTATGGAAATGAATGTAAATAAACTTATTAACTACAGTATTGTTAAATACTACAAAATTAAATAATAATAACAATGACAATGATGCAAGATACTATAACATTAATAACAATAGTAGCCTGACGATGATGTGATGATGAAGATATTGAAGATGATGATGATGATAATAATAATAATTACAACTATTTATAAAACAAATTGCAGTAAAAAACTGAACTGAATGTTGAGAAGTAAATTTGTAAAATGGGTAAAAGATTATAAGTGTATTTAGCATTGGTGTACATACCTGCTAAGTAAGCCTGTCCTTTCTTCTGAAATAGGGCCCTCAAGCCTCCTTTAACCTTTTGTTTAGGCCCAGCTTGTGGAGTCCCCGGCTGGTAGCTGGTTCTGTACTGCCAGGCTGCTTAGAATACTATTATACTACAATGCAATAATATCAACAAAAATATCTTCAAAACCTTTTCTTTTTTAAGTTTATTGACATTTAAGAAAGGTATATCTCTTTGAAATTTTGAATAATTACAGTATACATACCCCTTCAATGGATGTAATAGATCGGATAGAGATTGTGAGAGCTGTGTTCTGAGCATCAAGGACGTACAAATCTTGTTCAGCTAAAAAAAACATCAATAATACACTTACGGTAATAAAATTATTCTGCAGCAGGGGTCCAAAGTTGGAAGTCAATTCCAGGAGATCTGCAGTGGCAGATCAAGGAATTCCAAAAATGGAGGGGGTCCAGGGAGGGACTTTCGTAGATGAAGGGTCTAAATTTATGATTATGGCACCTCCAGATGGCTGAAAATGGCACTATCATACTTAAATATAAATATAATTTTTTCCCCTCCATTTTTAAAAATAACTTTTAAAAAAAAGGGGGGGGGGCAGATCAAGGAATTCTAAATGGAGGGGTCCAGGGAGGGACTTACATAGATGAAGGGTCTAAATTTATGATTATGTCACCTCCAGATGGCTGAAAATGGCACTATCACACATAAATTTAAATATACTTTTTTTTCCCTCCATTTTTAAAAATAACTTTAAAAAAAGGAGGGGGGGGGGAGAGTTGGGTTATTTTTGGGAGATTCTTGTGAGTGATAACTATTTTTCACTTAAGTTGCCAATGATGTATAAATTCAACAGATTCACAAATGTTGATCATGTTCCTTAAAGCCGGACACATACACTGCACCAATGGTCGTTGCCCAGTGTGATTCTAAGGAGAAGGGCACACAAGGAGGTACACACAATAGATCATTTTTAATGGCAACCTGTTGAGTCTGCCACAGACAATCAACAGAGAGTGTCGCACTGTCAATCGCTCACGAAGGGCGAAGATGGGTTAGTCGACCAATGGTCGTGTGACACAGTATGTGCAAAGCTTAAGTTTTAATTTATTATTTCTTTCTCATCAAACAACATATGGCACACCTTTCACCCCACCTCACCGCTCCTCTTCATGCCAAGAGGCACAAAAGCCCATAACATAATCTTTCCATTTAACCCGGTCTCTTGCTACTGTTTTGTCACAACACTGACTTATAATTATGACAGATTAAACTACTCTAATTTTTACAACATGAAAATTCATGAAAATATGTATCATGGTTTCATACAGCTTTTAATTTTCACTATTTAGAGAAGTCAGACCTTCCATCTGGTATAATTCCTCCATAGCACCCCCCCCCCCCCCCCCCCATTCGAAGACTTCGAAGCAAACAAAATTCGGCTAGGCTTATGCTGTCACGGTTAACGTGTATTCGGGATCTAAGAAGAAATATTTTTCAGTGGGCGTGGCCACCGAAAATAAATTCTACGCCACCTCATATTTTTGTCATGGATAAGTGAGGTCAAAAAATTGTATGAACAGAAATACTATCTTCGTTTTGCTGCTAGTAAATGGAGGGACAGAAATGGTAAACCATTCGCTTTTAAATGAAAGGAATGTCTTCTTTTATGCTACAGTGGTAAATTGCGCAAATTTTTTTTACAAGATTATGACAACATTGTTAAGATGATTTATCCAAAATATGAAAGCTTATTTTGGTCTCCGATTTGCAGACTGCAAGAAGCCTTTGCATAACAGTGGTATTTGTCTAATATCTCTTTGTATTTTATTTATAACTGTTTAAATTTTGTGTGAAAGAAATTTCTTTAATTGGTTGTGTTAAAATAGTAAATAGACCATGACAACGTGGTTAAAATGATTTGTTCAATATAGGAAAGTCAAAATTAGTTTTTGGTTTGTAGACTGAAAGAAGCTTATGCGTAACAATGGTATTTGTCTAATACCCTCTTGTATATTCAGTCTTTTTGGAATAGTAGAATTGTGTGGTTTATCGAAGCTTGGGGGGGGGGGGGGGGGGGCACGCTCATCCAATTTACATTGATTTTTTTTTTCGGTGGGAGTTGTTCTCGAGTGTGACAATCGCTTGTATCAACCCGACGGCAATGTGCTTTTTAGCTTATTTAGTTTTTGGTTTCTTTTTTGTCTTGAATGTTTTTTTTTTCTGGTTGTTCTGTTTTATGCTTAATATTATATAATATACCAAGTTTAAAGTGTAAAAATGAGTTTAGGTAATTTTAAAAATTGCATCCATGAACTGCAGAGGAATAGGGGATCGTAAAAAAAGGAAAGATGTTTTTGATTTTTTTTTAAATCGAAAGGAAATGATATATTTTGTCTTCAGGACATACATGTCACAAAAGAAACTGTAAATATGTTTAAATCTGATTGGAATGGAGAATGCTTCTTTAGTGGTACTAATCGATCTCGGGGAGTGCTATTTTATTAACTAAAAAGCTGGATGCTAAAATCCACGCAGTTCAGAGTGATGATAAAGGTAACATTATTGGCATAAGTCTGACTGTTAAGGAGAAACAGTTTTCTATTCTTAACGTATATGGTCCAAATGAGGATAATCCTAATTTTTTTAAGTACTTGAGCAATATAATTACAAAATTTGATAATCCACTAAACATACTCTGTGGGGACTGGAATTTAGTTCGGGATCAAAATATGGATACTCAAAATTATGTGCGTTTAAATCATCCAAATTTCAAAAAGAAAATTATTGAATTTATGAAAAAATTAAATATTGTGGTTGTATGGCGAGTGCTTAATTCAGGTACCCAAAGATTTACATGGAGACAAAAAAAATCCAGTAAAACAGGCAAGGCTCGACTTTTTTTATAATTTCTGAGGAATTACTATCTATTACTGAAAATACAGAAATTGACGCTGGATATAGAACCGATCATTCAATTATAACATTGTCTTTAAACGTTTCTGAAACAAAAAAGGGCAAGGGATTCTGGAAATTCAACAATTCATTACTTAGACATACAGAAATACAGACTATGTTAAATGTGTAAAAAATTCAATTAGGCAGACCAAAGAAAAATTTATGGCTTCTCCCTATAATTTTGAAATGCTTAGTAAGATAAAAAATGAGAACTTCCAATCTATAATTGATGATCAGATGTTTTTTGAAATGTTACTCTTGGACATCAGAGGCGTCACAATACCATTTTCCTCTCGTTTGAAAAAAGAAAAGGAATTGGAAGAATTTATTAATGATACAGAGCGGGAACTATCCAAACAAAATTTAGTAACCCAAGAGAACTTTTATATTTATGAAAATGCCAAAAAAGAACTGGAAGACTTAAGAAAAAATAAAATTGAAACAAGTAGAATTAGAGCAAAAGCCCGTTGGATTGAACATAGATGGGAAACCATCGCGTTATTTCTTAAATTTGGAAAAAAGAAATGCTACCCAGAAATCAATAAATCAATTAGAGTTGGACAATGGTGAAACCACTAAAGACCAATCACGTATTTTACAATTAACTCACAAGTTTTACAATAATCTGTATTCAGAACAAGAATGTTGGGCTGAAATGTGATGAAATACTCTAGTCATATTCCTCCTCTATGTAATAAAAAGTCCAAAGCGATGGAAGGTAAGCTGTCGTACGATGAAATTTTAAATTCACTAAAAAATATGAAAGGAGACAAAAGCCCAGGTAGTTATGGATTTACCGTTGAGTTTTTCAAGTTTTTTTGGTCAGATCTATCTGCCTTTTTGATTAAATATTTTAACATGGCTTTCGATACCCAAAAACTATCAAGAACACAAAAATTAGGTGTCATTACCTTGATCCCAAAGGGGAAAAACCCAAGGCAATACCTACAAAACTGGTGACCCATTTCGTTACTAAATGTTACATATAAAATTGCTTCGGCTTGTTTGGCTTACAGAATAAAAACAGCCATCCCCGACCTAATAGCTGATGATCAAAATGGTTTCATTCCAGGGCGATACATAGGTGAAATATTAGATTGATTTATGATCTTCTACTCCAAACAAAAAAATACAAAATTCCTGGTCTGCTTCTGTTAGTTGATTTCGAAAAAGCTTTCGACTCCATTTCATTTAAATTTCTCTTTAAATGTCTAGAGCTTTTTGGATTTGGACCTTAATTTATTAGATGGGTCAAAACGTTATATAATTAAGTGTCTTCTGTTGTTGTTATTAATGGTGATAAAGTCACACAGTGATCACACATTATTTTACAAAGCATGGTACGAGAAAGGTGTAAAATATGTTAACGATTTCTTCGATAGTAAAGGTAAATTTAAAAAACGTGAGGAATTTTGTAAAGAATTTAAATTGAATATTAATTTTCTAAGGTATCTGGGGATAAGAAACGCTTTATTCCATGCGTATCCAGAACTTGAAAATCTTGATAGAAATTTGCATTGTCCATTTAGATCTACCTTATATAGATATATGTTACAGCGTAAAAAAGGATGCCAAATATTCTATGTTGAGCTAATAAGAGGTAAAAAGAACAAAGGACAATACAACAGTAAGGCACTAGAGAAATGGTCCAGTAAAATGATTTTTTTAGTAACTGAAGAGGAATGGAAACAATTCTGTGTAAATAATTTCTTATGTACTCAGGACTTTACAAATAAAGTAATTCTCTTTTGGTTTTGAATCTCCATCTATCATTAATCTGCTGCTTATTTTAATAAAATATTATATTTATACAGCTAAATTTAGAAAATTTCCATTAAACCATGATGGTGTTTAAAATTTCTTAAAAGAATACTTTCTTTTGGAAAAACATATTTATCTTTCAAAATTTGAAATAACGCAATTCAGTGACAGATGGAATATCTTCATCCCATTATTTACTTGATTATAGGCCGAGAGTACCCTAAACTACCATGTTAAGCATAAGACAATATAAGGACACCCCTAACATCACATACAAGATGATAATAGATGTGTATAAGAGACAGGTATAATGCAATGAAGACGTAACAGGTGAAGTGTTCCATATATGGCAAAATAATTAGCTGTTTAGCTGTGTCAAGAATGCACATTTGTACCTAGATATGAGAAAAAGTGAAATGAAAAAAATAAATAAATAAAACGCATACTCATCATGTTCAATGTTTACATTTAATATCTTAATTTGTGCATATTGAATTATAATTGTTTCTATATTTCATATTATTCGTTGTTGTCATGAGGAAGCCCCTCGACAGTAGATCAATCTTATACTCTTGCGCAATCCTGCCACATTATAACTATATTCTTATATGTACAGTATTTATGATGCAATAAATGAAATGTCTACCAAGGAAAGAGAGACGGGCACACCAACCTGTGAGCCCAGAGCTTCAGGTTTCAACCTTTGACCTTTACTATGCTAAACTTGATTATGCTATTGCTTCCTTTTTTGTACTTTTTTCTTTTGTAATTTGTCAAAGGGCCAACCGAGACAAACTCAACT